TGTCTGAATTGTATATCTATTTACAGAATCCGGTTCCAATTTCTACATGCTAGTTTAACAAACAAGACTTATTCGTTCAACGCAATAGTATGTTTTGTTTCCTATGGGATATGATATCAACTATCATGCATATACCTAATTTGTTCTATACTGAAAGACAGGAAATGATAAAGCATGCTAAGATTTGCTTTGACATCTAATGTCTTTCAGTTTTGAATTGTTCCTTCTGGACATTTTAGAAACAAAATTCTTACTGTATCAGATATGCAATGTCTGGATGACATTCAAATGTTCAGTGTACTTATAAGAATAGTTAATAATAATTGCTTTATAAGGAAAATATGTACAGAGGTGTTACATTTAATGTGCATGGCCCTGTATTACAGAGATCAGAGAAAACATTGAGGCTTGGGCTTGTATTGGCGGTATAATATTCAGAGCAATAAAATTGAAGGCATAACACAGATATCTTGTACCTTAAGGCTTGGAATTATGGGTAGTCCCAGTGGGGGCATCAGTAAAGTGTTCCAAAAACTCTCAAACACTTCTCATAAACAGTCCAGTCAGTTTCTCACATCTGTACCGCTCAGAGCAATCAAAACCCGGCTCTGTGTTTCTGAACCGATTTAATGCAGCAGCAGAAGCCTTAAATCAAGCTAATGGTTTGATGTGATATACTTCTGAAATAATCTGGGAAAGCTCACGATAGAAGTACAAACAACAATGTGCTATTTTTTTGTGGTTAAATACGAACAAAACCAGGCCTGTGCACTGCAATCGTGTTTTTCATTCCTTGCTCTTCAAATTGAGCATGAAAATAATTAAAGCACATTTATTCACCGACTTGAAATATTTATACAGCACTTTTGTCTCGCTGTTCATAAAGATGTCCACTCTGATCATATTTGATCAGCAACCACAATAAATGTAACGTTTAATATTTGAAAAGGGAGCCATAAATCAGGTTAATACAGGGCCCCTGTGGACGCAGCGAGGCATTCGGTGTATCTGGCTTTAATTAAAAAGTTGGGGAAAGAGTGGGAGATTTTGGGGGTGTTGAGGGGATATGTTTTCTGATGTTTAGTGGAAGGGGCCTAACTAATGGTTCGTCAGCTTGCTTGTGGGTGCAGGCGGCATGTAGCTAAGCCAGATGAGCCAGAAGTGTGGTTCTGAGAGAGAGCAGTTAAGCAAGCATCCATTTGAAGCAATTTTGGCACCGGGCCCTTTATATTCCCCGCATTTGTCCACCTGCAAATTCGGGAAGACCACCAGCTGTGAAGTTTTAAAGACCTTTTAATATTCTAGCGGCTGTGTTCCTCGCCACATCAGAAGGCTGTACAATTGCTTTTTTCTTTTCTTTCTCCTTCATCAGCACCCTTCAGGATTTCTCCTCTGCATCTGTTTAAGTCTGATGGTGGAGGTGATCTGATTTATTCAGAGTGCTCTGAATTGCGTTATGCTGGCCTATAGCAATCACACATGTCAAGACATCCACCGTACTGCCACTGGGGAGCTTTTCTCAAAGGTTACCCCACATGAGTTATAATAGAGCTCAGAAAATGTACTCTGTTTTATAAAGGGCATTGTTTTATTGGTTCTGCTCTGCCAAGCCGTGTAGCCGGAAAAAAAATAACCACTTCCACAGCTCCGGGCAGATATTTCTGAAGTATTTATAAAAGGGTGCAACAAGTTGGCAGAGACTGCAGATGACACTTTGCTTGATCTGTTTGAAAGGTCATTATGTATTTAAAAAAATACTAAGTAACTGTACATTTAATATAAAGTAATAACTGTTCAGAGAATAGAACAACTTCATGCCACCTTCATGTCTTCAGTTCCAAACTTTTTTGATTTTCTTTCTTACATGAAACATTTACATTTTTTTTAATCCAAAGTTTTAATCTTTTAAAGTTTTAATCCAAAGCAACTTTCATCAGTTCATTCAGTCCCTGGGAATCAAACCTATGACACTGGTGTTGCTAGTGCCATGCTCAACCGTTTGAGATACATGAATGCTTCAAAAGGAAGAGTTTAGCTAGTTTCGAGAGTATTCACACTATTCTTTTCTTTCCTCTTCCAGTGGAAGTGCCAAAAACAGCAAAAAGCACTATGGAGGTATTAAAAGAGTGGTGCATATAACTATATTCTAAGTCTTCTGATGCCAAAATTTAATTTAATTTAATTTAATAAATGTAATATTCACTGATAATCATCTCCTCTACCACAACTCTTTTCATGTTTGTACATTGTTCAAACTGCATGAAATTGAAGATTTTTTTGTAAATAAATTTGATTTTACTTATAATTTATTATAAGTAATTACAAAAATAATTTGCTGTTATTATTATATTATGATATTACTATTACTGTTATGATAAATTCATGGTGCTTTGTGTTTGTTTTTGTTGTTTGATCGCCTTCTCACTTTCATTGCATTAAAAAAGCAGCATGAACATCCAACATTTTTCATTTGTAGTCAGAAGCTGAAAAATGTAATGTTAGTTTGGAACGACATGAGGGTGAGTATATCCATATTGGTACATCACATTAAATTCTTGTTCGTAGTTTATTTGCACATCCCTCTGTGTTACAGTCTCTGACAAAGTACGCTGCAGTCCTTACAGTGAAACCATAGAGGATATCCAGGTTAGTCATAAAATAGATCTGAGTCACTGACCCTCTGGATGTGTGTTTGAGCATGTGCACGTATGTGTGTGCGTGCAAGCTTGTGAAAGAGAGGAACTCAGCCAAAAACCTATCATGCCTCAAAGCACCGCTGAATGATTCTCCATAATTTTGTAATGACCTTTCTGTAGCGCTCATCTCGTTCATGCTGTTCGGATACGATTATCATGTTATCACTGGACATCTGGAAAAGTTTGGCTGTTTGTGTACTCTCCACGGCCCCTATAATCAAGTGCATAACCGCAAACACCTTCTTCACATTAGGTGGACGCATGAAATTATGATTTAATGCTTCCTGCATGCTGTTAGCACAGGGCCACTGGTGTTATTTCACAAAATATCCTGCTCTTTGCCCTCTTTTCTTCTTCTAAAAAAAACATTGTTTGGCTGAAGATTTCCTAATGAGCCCTATATTTGTTTTGTAGGGGTCTCATGCCGATCCAGGACACATGGCGAGCGACAAGCCCGTGCAAGATCTCTAAAGCTACTTCAAAGTTTAATAGTGTTGTTGACAGCTTGCATGAAATCGCCCTTTTCCAAAAAGCTGATTTCAAACAGATAAAGCCCGAGATCTGATCTCCACACCCTCACCTGGACAAAGAGGACAAACCAAGTAGCTAAAATTACACATCTCAGGACTTCTGTGCGTGTATTTGCATACGTGTTTGCTCTCGAGACTCGAGAAAGGATTCATCCCGCGCTTCTGTGACTTTGAAAGATGATGCGTCGATACTGGACTCGGACTGACAACTCAGAGTGGCTGAACTGTTTCCACAATATGAAGTGTTTACATACCAGACTTGAGAGTGGAAGACAGATTGCTTTCAGGATGAATTATGAACGGCTCAATGCGCTCGAGATTTGCCCATTCTTGAGGGAAAGCCCATTACAAGACGAGCAGATTGAGGTATGCGCAGACGAGATTAGCAGGGCCGCAGCCGTTCTGCTTGGTGACACTCAATGCATGCGGTAGCGAAGCCGTTGTCGCCTGTTGCACCATGGCTTCTCCTCCGCGTCCCCACCCCCCAAAAAGCGTACGGTTGAGACGGATGCCAATTTCCAGCAAACTCCCAGTATACTGGAAAAGCGTTTGTCTGAAGATGAAAGGCTTCACACCTGCTGCCTACACAACGAGCCGCTTCCAACACCTATCCGCGACAGCGCGCAGCTCCGGCTTCCCACAGCTCCCTCACCTCCATCTCATGATGGAGATAATACTACTAATAACGACAAGCAGGCAGTCTGACCCGGATCAGACGTTAGTAGCCGTAGCTACTGAGCCTGATCCTGTCCTTCCGAGGATCAGGCTCAGACTCCACACACATGCAGGGAGAGTGAAAAACGACACTGACCGTAATGCAAGGTAATTGCTTCCCATTTACTCGTGCAGAGACCAAAATAGCAGCATCTCCGTAACAAACGTGTGTGGAAATGCAGGGCGTAAGGGGCCGTTTGATACGCAGAGTAGCCGCTAGCCAGCACCCTTCAAACACACATGCTTCCCAGCAGTCGGACTTTAGAGAAATGCGAGCATTTACACAAGGGCCACAGTTGTTTTTTAACACGAGCCTGTTACCTGCATCACATCTGCAGGGTGGCCACTGGTCACCTGACTCGAGCTCTCAGTCAGAGCTTTGTGACTTGTGTGACATCCTTCATAATAGGTTTTATTGTAGAGGCAGATGAAAAAAGCCATGGTGTTTGAGCAGGAATTACATAACAGTACAATAGCAGATTGTTTTTGGAATAAATCATACGAACTCTTATCTATGTAGCTTCAGCCCTGAGAATTCATCCATGATGTGGCACAGCCCAAAAGAAAAAGAATCAAATACACCTTTAAAGACATAATATTGGCGTTTTCATTGTGAAATGCAAATTATACAACCATCTGCTGTTTTTAACACCTCATTACATGCACCACAATACCGTATAGACATACACCTTACATTTACGACATCCAGGAGTACATAATCCTAGAAAGCCAAGCGTTACATGACACCAGGAAGAATCATCAGCATCATAATCATCGCCGTTTTTTCCTACATATGTCACGGTAAAGTCGGCAAGTCATTCACCGATGGCACAATTAACTTCATTAAACGGGCACAATAACAAACCAAACCTCTGCAGTGCAGTACAGCGCGCAGCCAGGTGCCGTTTCCCTCCTCTCCCCAGCCCCAGAAGGCTAACCATGCTGGGTAACTGATCAACTACAGCTGCCCATTCCCGTTCCCAAGCCCAAGGCTAACAGCAGAGAGAAAAAGATAAACACAGGGAGGCTCCGGGCAACAGCCGTCACGCTCCCGACTTACCAGCACTGGCTGAACACAGCAGAGAAACCACCAGCACAATCACCAGCGTCAAGATCTTCACATTCATTTCTGCTCTCCCCTCCGTTTCCCTGCCAGTCGCTAGCTGATATACTGTAGTGGTGTGCGTATGTGGATGGGAGGGAGAGGAGAGTGGGTGAGCGAGAGAGAAAGAGAGAGACTGTTTGCTCTTCAGTGTGCGCGTGTGTCTGTGTGTGTGGCTGAATGTGTTTGTATATCTGTGTGCAAGTGTGTGACAGCGCTGCTGAGATTGAGGGCAGGTTTCTGTCGGAGTTCTCCTGCCGTGATGTGCGCGTTTCTCTTTTGTGAATTGGAAGTCCGGTAGAATGAGTGTGAAGAGAGTCGGTTTGTCTTGGATAAGAAGCCCAAGTCCCTCATGTTGCTTATGTATCCCTGACTCTGGGGGTCACTGAAAAGGGGGCTTCCCCCCCTCCACAATCGTCATTAACCCTCCCACTGAGAGAGAGAGAGGAAGAGGGCAGCTTTCTGAAATTAGCCAAACAGATACCCTTCTCAAAATTGTTTAGGTGGTGCGTGTCAGGAAACAACATCACATGAAGGAAAGATGGTTTTCTTCTCATAAACATCTCCCATATACACGTTGACGAGTTGAACAGACCCACACAGTTCACTTCCATAAACTGGGTGGCACATTTTCTGTCCGTTTTGTGTGTGATAGAGGAAAACTTATCAGTTCTTTCAGTGTTTTCTTTGATTTGCTGATTCTGAGTCATTTGTTTTGCTCTGTGTATAGATTTCCATTCTCTGCAAGAACAAAAGGCCTGATGAAAATCTGAGCAGAGGTACACCGGGTACTGCATGAATTTTCTGTCGTCCAATAAACAGGAAGGGTTTCATTTCTCATATTGAATGGTGAGTGATATGAAAAAGCCTTGAAGCGATAAAACATTTCTTATATTTTCCGTGAGTTACATGCATGTAAAGTTGATGTGTATTATAAGCTTATTCTATTAATTTTGTTGTTTTTTGCTTGAAATATTTGTTTTCATTTGTATTTGTATTTACAAACTCTGGTGCCATTAATCTACCACAATTTAAACTGTTTATGGCCCACCCTCTTCATTTTCAACGCCCAGATGGACGTTCCCATAATCCAGTCACTAAGAGAATTAAATACAAATGTAGCTAGAGGCCAAGAGACTGGGGCAGTTGAGGACGGATGAACGTATTATGTGCTGTAGTGTTGTCAGAATTGTTTTAATCAAGATACCTGCCATATGGTTTTGTTACAAAAATATCTTCTCATTACTAGCTCAGTGTTCGTAATGCGTCATTCTGTGTCTTTCAAGACTAAATATAATGATTCGAAATACTTTGTGTCAAATGTAGCTAGAGGCCAAGAGACTGGGGCAGTTGAGGACGGATGAACGTATTATGTGCTGTAGTGTTGTCAGAATTGTTTTAATCAAGATGCCTGCCATATGGTTTTGTTACAAAAATATCTTCTCATTACTAGCTCAGTGTTCGTAATGCTTTCAAGACTAAATATAATGATTCGAAATACTTTGTGTTAAAAATATTTTGATCAAACAATTAATACCACTGTTGAATGATCTTTTCATTTCCAAGAGACTGAAGATGCTGTAATCTAAATTCCACTGATGCTTATTCGGGAATGAAATACATTTTAAACAAATGAAGTGGCTTCTCAAGGCAACCTGAATTTTGCTCTCTTAAATTCTCATTTGTGGGACCGTGGCTCCATGTGGAATTGTTTTCTGTGGTCATCCGCCCCAGGCAAGCATGTCTGTAACACCCTCTTCAGACCTAACAACATGAGCGCCTTCCATTTTAGCATGGTCCACTTGAAGCCTTCGCTCTTTGTGAAGTAATCCTCTCGGACTGTCCCAATGCAAAGTCTGAAGGTGCTTATCCTCCAGCGAACTAATTTTAGCCAGGAGATAATTTGTTGAAGAACACTGTCCAGGTTTTATGTATGGCTGGTATCTGCTCAAACATGCCTCAGTCGATTTATCACAATTTAATGAGAGGATTAACACAAGGCAAACATAAATTTACAAAATGTAACTGTAATTTCCAGTAGAGTATGAATGGCATGTTGTAATGCTGAAGAAAGATAAGAGCATGCATGACTTAAACGTGATAGTAAAGTCCCCAAAAAATTGCACCAAATTACTTTTAATCCTCTTTGTGTGTTTGTGTGACATTTTAAGGACATTGCATATGCTGTTTCTTCCCATTTTAATTTTTTTTTTTTTTTTAACAATTTTTCTCGTTGCTTTGTTATTAGACATATTCATGATGCACCTGGCATATCTGACCTCACAGGAAGTACTTGGATGTTTACAGGAAGCGCTTTGAATGCCATGCACATTGCACACTGCCAGTCAGCTACCGCTTTCACGTGCCGATGCCGCTCATCTTCCGAAACCCTTCCTGATTTAACGATTTATTAATAGTGAAGAATGTCTATCCTCCCAGTTAAATTGAATTCAATCTGTGTCATAGAAAACAAAGCTGACGCCCACTCAAGTTTAGTGATATCTATCAATATGGAAAAATCAACATGTGTTTTTTCATCCAAAGCTATAAACGGCAGCTTATGACATGAAATGTTTACCTTATGATTTGCCTGCATTCTTGATTAATGTTCTTCCTGTTTGTTATCCGCCTCTTAATTGTATCTGTGTTTAGTCCAGGCATCAAACACAGTACCTGAATGAATGCGGGCGGATGTTTGTTAATGCTGTTGAGGGATCTGCTGGTTTAAAAAAAGTCGGGCTACTGAAGCACACCATCATATAGTGAGTACTGTTTTCCAGGCCTGTAAACATTGAAAAGCCAAGAACTACTTAATGTTATGTAATGTTTAGCTAGTTTTGGCAGTGAAGCTTAATTAGTGAAAGATTGAAATGTACACACATTCCCCATATCAAACATCAGGTCAGTGGATGTTTAACCATGCAGTTTCTACCATTCTTGTACTGTAGATAAGGGGTTGATTTTAATCCAGTAATTTCTTTACTAATGTGCAATTTGTTTTTGTTTTTTCTGGAGCTGTAAGTTGCTTTCATGGAAATTTATTGCAGAGGATTTGTGGCTATGCAGACAGTTGTTAATTTCTAGCTCATTATTTACCCTGGACCAGCCAATTATCTCCAGTGAACACTGGCTCCACTGTTGCGTGACTCGGCAGCAGCTGTCTCCATAATCTAGGTTATCCAGCCCATCAGTGAGAGCGCGCTAACATGGCTAACATGGGATGACAGTTTAGGGTCACTGTCATTTCAATAGACCAGGTTTCAATTGCTTTTCACTTCATAGTCAATGCAAAGAATCCAAAAATCTATTTTTCACCTTTGCATGTATACACTGAGTTGCATTGTGTTGGTCTGTACAATTGTATTTTAATAGTACAGATCAATATTTTTTTTTTTTTTTTTTCACCTTTGCATGGATACTGAGTTGACTAGTGTGCTGATCTGTACTATTGCATTTAATTATTTTTCACCTTAACATGGAAATAGAGTTGCATTGTATTTAACTATTTTATTTATTTATTTAACATTTGATCAGTATTTTTTTTTATCTTATTTTGACCTTTGCATGATCAATATGTTGATCTGCTCTATTTTATTCATAGAACAGTTCAGGTCTACATATTTTTTATTTTATTTTATTGGTCTTGTACAGACAGTACATATTGCAGTTAAAAGCATGTTTCTGGAAAACCCTATGGTCCTTGTGCATAATCAATGAGCTGTCTTGTTTTTAAACAGCGATGTCTTTATACAGTCTGAAGCCCACATACTCTTTGTCATAGGTTTACTCCATAAACCTTAAAAAAACAAACTCACAATAGCTTTGACTGTACAGCCAGCATCTAATCAGAGATGCGCATCTTTGGGATAGTTTCACAGGTGCCAGATAATGCAAGCGCTGATTTTGAAGTCACGCGGCTGTCTGTGTCTCAAAGGCTCTGATGAATACATCTCTGGGATCCTTTGTAGCTGTGTGCTTAGTGGAGTTTTGTGTGCACTGGAGATACATGCCAACTTTTCTCATGGTTCTTTGGACTTCTAATGGTGCTGTTGTTTTTCTATATGCACTGCTTTCCAGATCCTTCCTTCCTTTAGCAGTGTTTTTTCCTCTCTGCTTTCTCTCCTGTCTCTGTCATGTTAAAAAAAAAACTGATCTAAAAGAAGAGATATGCTGTTCATCCAGATCCAGAGTTCATTTATTGTAGCAGTAAGATGAAAAGAAGTCAAAACAAATTGAGAGGTCGTAGAGAAAGCCAAAGCAGAGCGTGTTCCCTTTTCCTCCCCGATGATATTCTGCTTATCAGACTTGCGATCAGTTCACACCGTCGCACGCAGTTTAGAAACGGCCGGCTTGGTTTGAATGGATGCTGGTTGTAAGTTCTCAGAGTTAGAAAGTAGAGTGTCAGGCTGGCTGTGGATCAGAGTCTGTGGAACTGATGCAAGTTGAGAGATAAGAGACTGCTTTCAGGAAGAGCGGTAGCGGCACACGGGCCTTAAGTGTTCCTGAACAGGACTTTGAAGTCGGACAATGCCCACTCCTCCATCATCTCTAATGATCTTCATCTTCATGAATGATCTACAAATGACCACGCTATCCTCTCTCGTAAATTTCTCCTGTTTACAGTTTCCGCTGCCAGGCTAATCTTAGATCCCATTAATGTGCGATAACCGATATTCCAGGTGTTGCACACTTCATGTTTAGTCTGGAACGTGTCTGAAAATGTGAGGTTGCAATCAGTGGACATGAAAAACAACAACTGTTGCACAGAAATCGTGAAACGACAAAGGAAAGTGATAATTATGCAAAACAGAGTGTTATAGCACGTTAAAGATTTTCGTATTCCAATCTTTTTTCTGTCCTCATTAGTGGTCTGCGTTCTTAATTTCATCATTAGCATCAGTTAAACGTCTGCCGTTCTCTCCTCTGTGTATTGCTGCGGCAGCCTGCCAGCACCAGGGAGTTTTGCAGGAAAATTGCAGTCATTTTCATGAAGAGGTCATTATTTGCTCTGATGCAATCAGGCCAAGGTGAACAAACGACAAGGAGAGGATTCAATAAAGAAACGGATGTATCAAGTGCAGTTACGGGGTCATCTGCCGTAAAAGCAGCAGCGCGTTTTTACCCTACATTCGCCATGGATGGATCGCTGATGGATTGCTGTTTCATGCCCTCAAAGTCATTGTCAGAAGCTCAGTCTGTTATTTTCTCGAGGTGACACACAGTTTCAGAATTGAAGGGAAGAATGTGAGGTGTGGAAATGCGGTGGATTCCTGCTTTTGGCTTTGAGTGAATAGGAAATAAGAAGCCGCCATAAAAGCTATGGTGGAGTGGCAGTGTTTTGAACCCGGTCTTTGTTTCTTATCTCTGTGAAATTCGTCTTTGATGGGCTGACACCTTCCCTGTTATGATTTCTCTTTGCTTTGTCTGTAAAGAATAACTTAACAATTCACACTTCGCCGTGTAGTGTTGCCGTAGTGCGCAGAGCCGTAAATACAAATTATTTTGTGTCACGCATAAAGTCAAAAGCAATAGTTCTCGAGGTGCAGCTGCGTATTGTTATAAGCTAAAATGAAGGCTAATGACCCATACTACTTAATGACCAGCTCAGAGGCCGCCGAATCCATATCATAAATCGTTCCTGTAGGTCGTGCCTCGGTTCCCACCTGTAAAGG